ATGATGTCACCCTCCCATCCTTTCCCCTAATCGCATCCTCAAGGACACCCCCCTCCCCCCCCAATTTACCAGCATGTCTGGGATAGCAGCTTCCGCTGCTCTCCTTTCCTGCGTAGGGAAACTGGAAGTCTTTGGAAGACGAAGATTGTTCGAACATCCTGTGGCTTCTTACGCACCAGAAGCTGTCGCTGCGGGAGAAAAAAATCATTCGTTCACACCACATGCCCAGTATAGAGAGCCGTAATTCACCCCATTCCACTTTTAAGACCTGTGGACTTCAACTCCCAGAATTCCCCAGCCAGCAAAGCTGGCTGGGGAATTCTGGGAGTTGAAGTCCACAGGTCTTAAAATGTCCAACACTGCTCTTAAGTGTCAAAAATCGTCCCTTCCTTTGTGATTTCTTTCCTGAATGGTTGATTTCCGGGATCTTGGCTGGGCCTTCATGCGCACAAGGCTGCCTTCACACAACCGGGTCTGGGTAGATGCATTTCTGCAGCAGGCTAAGTTTGGTTAGCGTGTTGTGTGCTTTTTTGCGGCTTAGCCACTTGCAAGAGCCCAGATGTGGGGTCTTAAAATGGGGCAGTGTGTGTTGTAGGACACACGGAAAATGGCTTAATGTGGTTTACATTTCCACCAGTTGTTCCACAACCATTTTAAGCCAGAACAGCCCTGCCTGCATTTCTCTTTTTCTTTTCTTTCTCTTCCTCCTTCCCTTCCTTTTCCTCTTCTTTCCTTTCTCCTTCCTTCTTTTCCTCCCTCCCCCCTCCCTCTCTGCCTTTCCCCACCTTTCTGTTTTCTTTCCTTTTTTCGTTCTTTTTGTCTTTTCTTTTTCCTTTTGTCTTTTTCTTCCTTTTTTCCTTCCTTTTCTTCCTTTTTTCCTTCCTTTTCTTTCTTCCTTTTTTCTTTCCTTCTTGTCTTTTTTCCCTTTTTTCTTCCTTTCTTGTCTTTGTGTCTTATCTTTTTACTTTGTCTTCCTTTTCTTCCTTTCTTTTTTTTCCTTTTTTCCTTTTCCTTTTTTTCTTTCATTTTTTGTCCTTTTCTTACTTTTTCCTTCCTTTTCTTGCTTCCTTTTTTCCTTCCTTTTCTGTCTTCTTCCTTTTTTCTTTCCTTCTTGTCATTCTTCTTCCTTCCTTGTCTTTTTGTCTTATCTTTTTTACTTTGTCTTCCTTTTTTCCTTCCTTTTTTCCTTTTCCTTCCTTCCTTTTCTGTCTTCCTTTTTTTTCATTTTTTGCCTTTTTCTTACTTTTTGTCTTCCTTTTCTTGCTTCCTTTTTCCTTCTTTTTTTGTTCTTCCTTTGTCTTCCTTTTGTCTTCCTTTTTCTTTCTTCTTTTCTTTTTCTTACTTTTTGTCTCTCTTTTCTTCCTTCCTTCTTTCCTTCTTTTTCTGTCTTCTTTTTTTCTTTCCTTCTTGTCTTTTTTCCTTTTTTCTTCCTTCCTTGTCTTTTTGTCTTATCTTTTTACTTTGTCTTCCTTTTCTTGCTTCCTTTTTCCCTTCTTTTTTTGTCTTCTTCCTTTTTCTTCCTTCCTCTTTTTCTTACTTTTTGTCTTTCTTTTCTTCCTTTTTATTGTCTGCTTCCTGCTTTTTCTTCTCTCTTTCTCCCTTCCTTTCTCTCTTCCTTCCGTTTGGCTGATAAAAATTGATAATTCAAGACAATGCAACAATTGATCTTCAACTTTCAACTCTGGAGATGCTTTTATTTCTTTTAACTTTCGTTCAGTGCAGGCTCTTTCAACTTGGGGGGAGCACAATCTCACCGTCTGTCACCCCCCAGTGCTCATCTCCAAACACCTTGAACCAGTAACATCCCAGAACAATGGGGAAACTTTTTCAATTTTTAGTTTTTTGCAATACTGATGATTTGCCATGAATTGTGACAACTGTTTTGTCATTGGGCTAGGTTCAGGAGCATCATGGATATGGGCTGTGACCCGTCAAAACCGCGCTCGACTAAACCGCGCCCGATTAAACCGCGTCGCTGACGTCATCAACAGGGCGACAACAGCCAGCGCGGAGAAAGAAGGGCGCTTTAAATCAGTGTTTCTCAACCTTGGCCACTTGAAGATGTCTGGACTTCAACTCCCAGAATTCCCCAGCCAG